CTCGGGGCGGGGTTAGGCAGCGGGGCACGGACACGACCACAGGCCAGGGGGGCGTGGCTCGGATAAGCTGGTTTTTAGAGCAGCCGATGTTTACAAACTGAAAAACTGAGTTCCGTGTAGTCCTGGGGGCACGTGTGCACGTGCGTGTGTGCGTGTGTGTGCGTGTGTGAACAGTGCACCCATTTTTCCTCAGCAGAACCAAAGCTCAGAGCCAGAAACAGCACGGCAAAACAAAATTCTGCAGAGTTCCGTATGTGCGAAAAAGAACAATCGTGGATCGAAGGAAAAAAACGGGACTTAGCGGAGGTCAAACCGTATTTGGGGTGCAGTCTGGACGACCTGGAGAGGACCCAGCTTAACACAGAAAACCCAGGGCAGGAGCTCACACCCCACTGATTCCAAGTCCTCCGCGCGGGAGGCGGGGCCGCTCTCCGAACCGGCTCCACGGACTGGAGGGAAGCCACCCACGGCCGCGGCTCAGGCCTGACGCACGTCCCCTGCATGTCACCTGCACTTACCCAGCTCTAGCTCCCGAGGCTGCGCCGCCCGGAGGAAAGTCACTTCGTGGGCTCGGGCGCTGGCCCGACGGCCCCGTGGTCTCCCTCTAAAGCTAGACACTCCGGGCGTCGACGGGGCGGCCGAGCGGGCGGGCGGTGAGTGCGACCCACACGGAGGACACGCAGCCCGTGTGCCGGGGACGAGCGGGGACGGCCAGCAGGTGCCCTCGCCGGCCCCCGGCCCTGACGCCACACCACGTCCCCGCCGGCCCCGGTCTGAGGGGCTGCGATCGCACCCCCAGTGCTGTGGGGTGGGTCTGGGGACGGGGGAGCAGATGCCGCTGCCCAGGGTGCCCGCGCCGCCCGCGCCGCCCGGAGCCCCGCCTAGCGGCGCCCGGCAGCCGGCTTCCTCTTCTTGGACTCGCCCCTCTGCTTCTGCTGCCTCCTCTTGCCGCCTTCCTTGGGCCCTACGAAGACACGGCCGTGAGACGCTGCGCAGAGCAGCGGCGACCCGAGAGGCACGCACGTCCCGGCCGTCCCCACGGCAGGGACACCGGTGACACGGGGTCGTGTCTCCACCTCCGCCTGGCCCGCGCCTGGAGCCAGCAAACACGAGCTGTCGACCGTGCGACCGCTGACGTCACTGAGAGTCCAGCACTGTGCGGGCGTGAGCAGCCCGGCCCTGCACCCGCCCGTCCTCACGGACGCCCGCCCCGGCCCACCTGGCGACGGCCCCCAGGCCAGAGGCCCTGCTGCGCTGCAGGTGAGCCTGTCACTCCTTGGTCGTTGCTGAAAGGCAGCGAGTCGGAGGCCAAGGGGACAGAGGACAAACGCACCGCTCACCCCTGCAGACCTCGTCCAGTCAGGAACGAGGCCCCGGCGCAGGCCGAGCGCTGTGCGAGCCGTCCCCACATCTGCGGTGGACGAGCGCACGGGGCCCAGGACACGGGTGTTAGATTTCGGTGGCAAACGACCGATTTAAATGACCTGACTGCCGCAGAGAAAATGGAGCCAGGCCAGGGTCACGGGGGCCGGAGACTCAGGCCTGCTGAAGAGATCACCTCGAAGCGTTCTCAGGATTTAAGTGACGAGGCGGCCTCGGCACAGGCTGGTGACAGACACGATGCACAGGCATGGTTCCCACCCACCCACTCTGGGGACTCACCTCGTGGGATCACAATCACAGGTGAACTAGGTCCCCATCACCATCAGATGGGAGCCCACGCCACCCACATCGTGACGCGTTCCCCACGCCAGGCCAATAACCACCATCTGCCCGCTGCCCAGAGGGACCGGCCGAGTGGGCTCGCCTCCCTGTCCCAAACACAGCAGGCTCCAAGGGCCCCTCGGTCCCCACGGCCATGAGCTCGCCAGCGCTGCGCCATCGACGGGGAGCTGACCTGGCTGACTCTGCGGCCCCAGCCCCCAGGGCACCACGTGGCGCCACAGCTGCCAGGCACATGCCCCCGGGCCATGTGTTCAGGAAGGTTCTGCACCGCTACAACTGAGGTGGGCGGTAAGACCGAGCTGAGCACCGCCAGGGCCTGGGCTGCCAGGCAGGGACGGGGAGGGGGACAGCACCATCCTGGGGAGGGACAAGGAGGTGGCATCGGCCTGGGGACAGCAGGGCACATCTGGGCCCAGAGGGGCCTTCCACGGGGAGACCCGCCCAGCTCATCGCTGCTGGGACCGGCCCGGCGGGCGGCGCTCACAGGTGGGGCCCGCGATGTCCTCACGCACATCCCTACCAAGACACCACCTGTGCTACGGGGCGTCTTAACTTTGAGAACACCTAACGGTGACCTCAAATGAACTTAAGAACTTTCGTGACAAAGTGCGCGGTGCGGGGCTGGCACTGTGACTGCTCGGGCTGCGCGTCTCCCATCTGGCAGGAGCTGGTCCCGTGTCCGGGGAATGTGAGGACACTGGCCACCCCAGCTCCTGACTGGTGGCCCGAGAGGCAGGCTGGCCACACAGGGAGCCCTGGGCGGCACCTGACTCTCATGGCCCCACCTGCGAGCTGCGTGCCCGTCAAGGTCTCAAATCACGGGGAATGGAGTAACAAGAAGCAGGTGTGTGGATGGAGCCAGCGCACAGGCCCCGTGGTGACTGACAGCTGCACAGGGTCCCCGGGCCCAGCCACACACATCACAGACCTCGAGGAGACTTGGGACAAACCTCGCTCTGCCTGCTCAGCCACCGGGGGCAGCGTCCCACCCTCACCCTCTGCAAAGAAGCTCTGGCCAGGGCCCTGACAAGAGGGACAACGTGTTTGGGGAGAAAACCCTGCCTCCCCAAGGTCAAGGGGCCCAGACCTGTGAGGCTGCAGGTCACAGCTCAGTGGGTGCGACCCTAGAGACCCTGCCCAGCGGGACGTGACACCGCATGCCTGCCGGGGACAGGAGCGGGGGGCACGCGGCGTCCGCCACGAAACAGAGCTCTTCGCCTTTCCTTAAAATGTTCAGCGCCAAAGTGAACACAAAACCAGACACCAAACCCAGACCCAGGAAGCCTGAATTCCGCCAAGAGTGCGCCTCCCTCACGGTCCCCCCGGAAAACACCTTCGGGGGACAGCTGGAGTCCCCGGCAGAGACGGGCATGGACACACGGGTTAGTTTCGTTAGGAAGACGAGCTTCGAAGCGAGCAGCAGCGTTAGCCCCGTGAGTACCAGGCCGAGCCTTGCAGAAGACGCTCTGCAGCCTCCGGGGAGTCACTCTTTTCAGGTCAAAAAACAAAAACGCGACTTCGTTCCTTCGTTCAGGAACCTTTCTCAGGTGGAATAGTTCTGACTTTCTCTTCTGACAGTCACGTGTTCCCGACAGACTCTAACGAGCGTATAATTCATAAAGGAAAAACGCCGATGACTTGCTCGTTCCCGTGAAGTACAGAAAGGCCTCAAACGAAGCCGGGCGAGGTTCACGGGGGTAGAATGTGACGTAACAGCCCGTTAACAAATCCGAAGGCCAGCAAGTCACGCCTGTGTCACCCGTTCGCTGGCCTGGCTCTGGACGAGGGCAGCCGAGCAAACGGCGGTGGGGTGGACGGTCACCTGGGCCACCGGACCACACGCCTTCCCGGGCTCCTTCGCTGCTCCTGACGCTGCATCGTGTCGGCCGGATGTGGGAATTCCCCACACGGCAACAAGTCCAGCGTTTGGGGGAGTGCGCCTCACGAGAGCCCGTCTTTAGCCTGAAATGTGCGCTTCCCAGACACTGCCAGGCTGCCCCGCACGTCACTGTCACCCAGCGCTCCAGAGGGCACCTTTGTCCGGTGGTTGGCCAAGCGAGGGAGCACAAAGCAGGGGTACCGGGCACTTCTCGTGCAACAAGTTCCTTATGTGTGCTTCTTTCCAAGAATTTTCCAAAACTGGCAGATCTGGCAGAAAACTGACTGCACGGCCCCTGCAGGCCACACCGGGGCACAGAGGAGTCACGGGAGCCGCCTCGGGCAGGGCCCCCAGCGCTGGGGAGCAGCGGTGTGCTGGCGCCGGTGGGGGACGGTGCCCGCCCCACGCCTGGCGTCTGCAGAGCCGGACAGAGTGGGGTGAAGTCGTGCTGCTGGGGACGGGCGCACCCTGGAGGCAGCTCCCAGCTCTGCACCCAACGCTGCACCCTGACGCCGCGTCTCCCGACTCTCCCTTGGGGGCAGCGCTGGGGGCTGTGGCAGGACGTTAAACCGCGGCCTGCACGTGGACCGTGGGCGCGTGACGATCCCGCCCCAGCTGTCCGGTGCCTTCACCCCTTCCAGGTCTCAGCTCGACCGACTGGCGAGGACGGAAGCAGGTGGGGGCCGGCGCCGACGGCGGTCAGAGCCCCGGACAGCGCGCGGCCACGGAGGCGGCGAGCTCCCAGGGTCTGAGGCACGGCCAACTTCATGGCCAAGGACGAGGACCAGGACAGAGGGCCCGTCGCCTGCCACCCCCAGGCCGCAGGTCAGCTGGCAGCCCGCTCCCCGGCTCAGAGAGACCCCGCTGGGGCCGGTGTGAAGCCCGACAGAGCAGGTGGCTTCAGAGGGCCAAGCCGTTCCCCGCCAGCCCCACTGCGCTGTCCACCGGCGCCTCCGCTCGCTCGCTGGGAGTGGCCCCAGGGCCTGGCGCCTCAGGCCCAGCCCGCACACTGGGGCACATTGGGAGGGCCGTGATGCCCCCCCACCCCACACTCAGGCCCAGGAGGTGACGTAACTCAGGGCGGGACACTCTTCCAGACTCCGGCGGCCGCCCTCTCGTCAATCACACAGAAGCCTGGTCGCCAAACGGCCCATCTGCTGTGGGCAGCACTGGGCGGCCCTAGAGTGGGGTCTGCCTGGAGCCACCGGGAGTGGGGGACACGTCCTCCTGCCCCGACAGCTGCCTCTGCCTTCTCACCGGAGGAGCAGAGAACGTCCCAGCAGACGCTCCGGGAGGAGAGCTCGGCACGCAGACGCCGCCGCCCGGCCCCGCCCCGACACGGGAGACCAGGGCCCGCACCCCCCACCGTGTGCTGCCTGGGACCCCCCGCGGGAGGCACGATGGCATGAGCTCTTGGACCACGACTCAGGCCGAATCCGCGCTGGGCTTTGGGACTGTCAGGGCCACACCTACATGCCCAGCGACACGCTCAGAGATGAGCCAGAACCTTCCGTGGGGACTCAGTCCAGGGACCACGAGCCAGAGAGCTGGGGGAGGGCGCCCACCCCGCTGGGCAGCCCGGGCAGCGAGCTGTCCCTTCTGAACCAGACACCAGCAGAGGCCCAGACAGCAGGAAGAGGACGCGAAGCCGCCCTCTGGGCCTTTGCTGCTGGGCGCCCCCTAGTCCGGCGGTGGCCTGGGCACGTGTCCGGCGAAGTCGGCGGACCTCGAGCACCGACGTGGAAGTTACAAACAGGGGAGTCAAGGGAAAGCAGCACCCGCCATCCTGTGCCCCAGACAACACACTTCATACCGTCACACAGGCTGGCATCCCGTTTTAATGGCGGGGCGCCGGGGGTGAGCGGAGGCCCCCGCCCGCCCCCCGCCCTCAGGTGAGGACGCAGCAGCGCAGGGGCGCCTTCTGTCTGCCCTGGCCTTGGGCCGGGGGGGAGGCGGCCCGGCAGGGGCGCCCGGCCTCGGTTTCCCTCTGCACACCTGCCGAGAACACGGAGGGGTCCCAGCTGCCGGCGGCCCGATGTCTGCCTTGCTCGTCCTCGTCCTCGCAGCCGTGGGGGGGTGACGCGTGTCTGGGCAGCGCGGCAGGCTTGTGCGACCTCAGCGAGCGGGCACTGGCGGGCTGGCCTCTCTGCCTGCACTCCTCCAGGAAGGCGTCCTCGTCAGCCACACCTGCAAGCACAGGGCGGAGACCAGTGAGTCGGCCGCGTCTGCCGCCGCCGCCCCCTGCAGCGGGGGGCGCTCCGTCGAGGGCACTGCCGTGGCCCGGACACCTCCAAGGGACAACGGGAAAACGGGGCCACGCGATAATGCAGTAACAAGAGCAGCTCGCCCCCCAGCAAGGCACCTAAGTGACTCCCGAGAGCACGTGTCCTACTGAAGTTACTGTCAGGGGCTGGGTCCCCGTGACACAGTCTTCACCAAAGTCAACCCAGCCTGTGACTCACCCGGAAAAGGCTCGGATCCGGCCTCCGGGCAAGACACCGCCCGTCCATCGAACGTTAAAAACGGGGGTGCGAGGGAGGTGCTGGCCCGAGACACCTGTCCCCTGCCCGCTCGCGCACAGCACGCAGCTCTGAACCGGGAACCCACGGGCACCGGCCGTCACATCAGACACACCCCAGACGGGACGTCGCCCGTCCCTCCCCAGGTCACGCTTCTAGTGGTCTCTTTGAAAACAGAAGTTTTGCACGTTGGGCGGGTGGCAGGAATAAGCAACAGAACTGATGACATTCACTGACTTTAAGTTCCTTCTCTGAAGAGCTTACATGTCACACCAGGCGGAAGAAGCTCAATGACAAAACTAAAACCTTCCACATGACGAGACGGTGGGACCACGAGCCGAGGCCCCGTTCCCTGTGCCTCGAAACGACTCCCTGGGGGAGGGTGCGACTGTCAGCAGCTGTCACCACACACCGTCACACCTGCCATGCTTAAAATTCTGGGCCCAACAAGTGACTCGGGGGCCAGCTGAGGCAGGATGCCCCCCACGCTCTCCCCAGGCACAGCCGGGTCCACCCGCAGGTGGCGCTGCCTCCGTCCCCATCCCCACCTCCCTCTGAAATGAAGTAAGGTAAGGGCTACGACCTAGGAGTTTTAGTGGTCACCGCACACCGTCGCTGAGCCGCCGAGGGCCCGGCCCTGTGCTGGGGAGCCTGGCTTAAGCAGATCTGCAGCACCAAACACCTCGTGGGCACACCCCGTCGGCCTGGCCTCGGGTACCTGGGGCGCTTGTCCCCAACGGGGGCGCTGGCTGCTGGGGACCGAGCACGCTGGCACTGAGGGGCACAGAAGCCGGCTCCTGAGAAATGCGGGGCTGGGGTCGCCGATGTCCTGGGGCTGGCGCCTCAGGAGTTTTCCAAGGTAAGCCTCGATAACCCTCCAACCCCACAGCGCGGGGCACAGCAGACGCTCAGCCAAGGGTACATGGCTCCTGGGATCACGACCCTGCTCCCGGGCTCCACTGCACACAGCCCCCTCCGCCAAGTGGCTCTGGGCAGACACGCTGTGCCTGAAGCCCTGGCAGCGTCACCTCAGGGCAACGTCACAACCCCCTCGCCAGGCTCTCCAGGTGTGGCCCTCAGACCTGAGAACTGAGCGAGACCGAAGCCAGGCCAGTGGCGCTCTGTCCCCAGCGAGCCTGGCCCGTGAGGACCCAGCCGCCATGTGGACGCAGGGGCCCAGGTGGCTGCTGCACGAAGGCAGGCCACCACCGCACAACGGTGACAGGCCTCGCACGCACAGAGCGTCCTCAGCCCGCGTCTGGCAGGCCCCCTCTGGGGGGCCTGCGGAGTCCGACCCCAGCACTGGGCTCTGTGGCTGGAACGGAGAGACATGCCCCACGTGTGAGCAGCCGGCGTTGAGAAGCCACTTACATGGTGACTTCACGTCAGAAGCCACGTTTGGGGTGGGAAATGGTGGCGCGGGGAAGGACGCTGGGACCGCCGGGCTCAGGGCCGACAGGCTGGCACTCCGGGGCGCAGACACCGACACTGACGCTAACCAACACGTGGGGGCACGTCCAGCCCGGCCACCGTGGGAGGGCACGGACAGCGGGTCCCACGTACGTGACGGCAGAAGTGCTGGCTCCTTGGGTTAAACCTCTGGAGCTTGACACGAGGCAGAACTCCAATGACCTTCAAACACTGTCCTTGCCGTGAGAAGAGATCACGTGCCAGGTACGTGGCGCCCTGAACACTGGTCACCATCTTTAATCTGAGTCTGGCTTTGTGACGATGATGGCCCTGGCCTGGGCCGTGGGTGCAGCCGTCCCCGGCCGCACGTAGCTCACTAGCGTGGGGTAACCTCGGAACCCGGTCGCTCCCAGCGCTGCAGTCACGGGCCAGAGGGACAGTGGCATCTTCTCCACGCACACTGCTTTCGGGGAACGTGTCGCCCAGGCCGGCACACGCAGCCGCTGGGGACATGCCTCCCGCCGCAGGAGCAGCACGGCCGGTCCGAGCTTGTGTCTGTCACCCATGGTGGCCCCCGCACACAGGCTCACAGGGCCACCGCCACCGCTGGACCGGTCCCCAAGCTCTGCCATCCAGTCTAGTTCGACTGTTGGGGCGGGGACACCAGGCTTGGGACGGGATGCGACCTTGTTCTCTCGCCAAGCCCCCCGCTTCCCGGGCCTGGGATGTGCAGCCACACGGGTGTCAGAGCCGTTTGTACCCTGTGTTCGCTGTTTGTTCAGAAACCATCATTAAGGCACTGAGCTTGACGTTCCGAAGACAGACACCCCAACTACACAGACACGCAAAACAGGCTCGCCCCACGCTTAGGGTGTCCTGCTGCTCCCGAACCCTGCGATGCTGGATCGCGGACCAGAGACCACTCGGTCCAGAGCTGACGGTCACCCGGGGCGGCGGGGCACACGCTGCGGCTGGAAGCCGGGGCCTCCCCGTCCCGGGCGGTCCTGGCTCGAGGCCTGCCCGCCTTGCGCCGCCTGCACCATCTGGGGCTGGTGGCGGCAGAGCCACCTGCTGTCCGGCGTCCACGGGGGCACAAACAGCAGCGCGCACCACTGACCACCTCCCCCGTCACCGTCTTACTTACCGTGTGCGACACCGCGACCTCTCGGCTCCCCGGGCCCCGCTGGGCTCTTACAGGCTCCGAAGGTTCTCGGGTCTGGAGCAGGGACAATCGAGTCACTGAGCCCACGAGGTCCCCAGGAAACCCAGTGTCCCAAGTAGCAGAACAACTCATTGGGGAAAACAGACAACGCCGGAGACTGGGGACCCACAACGAGACCGCTCGCCGCCTCGTCCCGAGTTCTCGCTGGGAACGTTCTGGGAGGGGTGGCTCGATGCACGCCCATGCCAGCACGCGCTGAACCCGCCACACACACGCCACTGCGAGGCGGTGACAGGTGCATAAAAAGGCCATTGTCAAGTGACACTGAGCTGCAGGTGACAGGCCACTCGGGTGTCTCTGAGAAGCGGTCTGAGAAGCACGGCGACCTGACCGACACCCCCACGGCAGCCGGATGCCAGACAGGGGCACCCCCTGGGCGTGGACTGCATCGCGCCCCAAGTGTGGACGAGGCGGCCACGTGCTGCCCAGCACCACCTCCCGCGGCCCCTGAGAAACCAGAAACGAGGAGACACTGCGCCTCAGGACAGGCGCGGGAGGGTGGCCCCAAGCACACCCAGATGCTGGTGGTCACGCCCCCGGCCAGCTGGCATCTCCACCCGCTGCGCCCGGCCGCCCCATGCTCACGGCTCACTCCAGGACAGCCTGGCCCAAAGGCCTGCAAGGGCCTGAGTGACTCGCTCCACGTCCAGGGCCACCGCCCAGGGACAGCCCTCAGGGCAGACAAGGCACATGGCCCCAAGCAGAGCGTGTCGCCACAAGGCCTGCCCGCTCACACACAGTGCTGCTGGACACCGCCCCCCAGGGTGTGCGAGGGTCACCGTGTCCCTCCACTGGCCGGGCCTGGAAGCCCACCCTGGGCCAGTGCCTGGACCCCACACCTCTCTGGTGGCACGGCGCTGTGGGATGCACCCCCGACGCGCGAGACCCCTTCCCACGCCACCGTGCGTCTCCCCACCCGCCCTCCATCCTGTCCTTGTCCTCACGGCTCCCTCGTGCCCATGTCCTGCAGGACCCGTAAGGGGGCCGGGGGCTGGGGCACCCACAGCATGACAAGCCCACCCCCCAGGTGCGGGGTGCGGCCTGAGCTCCCAGAACGGCCCTGACTCGGGGGCGTCCTTCGGGCATTATGCTGCTCCCGCCCTCTCTGCCCCTGGCTCCCAGCGAAGCACCCCAGTTTCAACAGAGCCTACATTTCTGGCCACCGCTGACGCTGTGGGCTGAGCACCGAGTAGCCCCCAAGAGCAGAGGCCCCTCAGAAGTGGCTCTTCTACCAACGACAAATGCAGTGGCCGGCAGGATGCGCCAGCCGGCGGCGGCACAGAGCACGGCCGAGACCCAGCTCGAGCTCTCGCAACTGAAAACCACACGTGGCACTGCCCCCCGCAAAGCCCACGCGCCCCACCTGTGGTCACGCCACCGCCAGGGCCAGGCTGGCACCGGCCGGAGGGAGCCCAGCCTGTCCCCCCACGAACGCCTGCCCTCGACACCGCAGCCCGCGGGCCCAGCCTGTGCCTTCAGCTTCGGCTCTCGCCTCTCGGCCCCGCTCCTTTACCTGAGGCTTTGCTGGGAAGGACAGAGGTGCTGCCCGCCCGCCTCAGCGACCCGAGAAGTGCGAAAGGCTGTTAGGAGTGGGACGCACCCTGCCGTCCGGCACCGCGAGCGCCCACCGCAGGCCCCAGTGGCGACCCGCAGGGGTCTCTGGGGGAGCCCAGCACTGACGCGTGTGGCACGCTGACAAATGACCTCACGAAGGGACAGGCGGTGCCTCCCGGGACAGCTGACCCCATGAACTAGCCTGAAGCACCCCCGCCCAGCACCACGGCCCCCGAAGCCGGCCACGTGCCTGCGTCTTCCTGCGGCTTCTGCCCAGCCCCCCGCACCCTCATCCCGTTGACTGCTACACGCCACTGCTTCCACGGACGCGCCCCAACCCAGCGGCTTGAGGTGAGCGGTTTGTCCTGTGTGAGGACAAACAACGCACGTTAAAAAAAAAAATAGTCAGTTCGGCACCGGGCAGAACTGACGATCCCAGTGCCGTTCCTGCCAGCCTTTCCCGTGCGCGAACAGCTAGTGAG